TTCTTTTATGCACGCGGCTTGCATTTTTGAACCACGTGGCTTTACGTATGATTGCTACTGCCTCGCTTTCCCGGATGTGACGTAACCCAACATGAAGTGGAAAACGAAGCGATGCGGTATTTAAAAACAATATATGAGTGTTTAACAGTTGATTAGTTCTTTGCGATAGTCTTAATTTTATTTTTACAAGGTCTTAAAAAGTCTTGAAAAAGTCTTGAATTTAATTTTGAGATTCCTGCATATAGAGCTCCGGACCCCACGTGACTCTCAGTTAGTGGATGCCATTTTGGCATGCAAAAAAGGTAAACAAACACGGATGTAACCATGAACATGAACGGGATCCGCTTGGATTTTACTTCGTCGGAGTTTACTTCACACTTTAAAACAGAAGAAATCGTTTTATATAGTCAGAAAATAAATAGACTAAACATCTCCGACCCTTACCGTGCCCCTGGGATACTTTTTAAAAACGCCAGAAGATGTCGGAGCGGACTTCTTACCGGCACAACACCGGACCTGACCGGGGAACCCCTTGGGATTTACCCGGAGGAGCTGGCTCCGGCGGCTGGGGAGAGGGAAGTCATGCTACTGCCCCCGCAACCCGACTCCGGATACGCGGATGAAAATGGATGGATGGACGGACAAATAACAGATTTACACGTAAGTAGTCTCGGTGTGTGATCTGACAATTGATCAACCATTGCTTAAAAATTAAATACAGCTTAGCCGGTTAATTGCTGTCATCATAAAACACGGAAACGGCAGCACGCAGAACTCACGAGGCAACGTTTTACGTGATGTTTACTTGCTGCTATGAGTAATAAGACAGAAAAAGCCACGCCAAAATAAGTTTAGGAAGCCCACTAAGAATCATAATAAAAGCATTTAAAATAAATACCATACACAGTTGAGGAAACGTTGGTTTAAGTACCTGATATGAAGAGGTCGCTGCATAAGCGAAAACCTTTACTCTCGGGATCCCACAGCTTCATTTTAGTCCGGTCACTAGCGCGTTTTATTACCATGATCCAACGTTTGCGGCGCTCCGGATCTTGGGGAATCCTGTAGATGGCTCATTCCTTATGTCGTCCGCGTCTGTTCTGCATCCTGGGGCACAACAGAAATCTACCATATTTCCCGTTTGAGTTTTCTGACAATAACAAATAGTCCAGCTGCCGGCTTCTGCATGCCAATATGGCGCCGTTTCGATTTGAACTGTTGCATGCCGGGAAAAGTGACGTCAACTCCCGGAGCTCTATACCCTGAAGATGGATGGAAGAAGAAGATCTGAGAGAACGGGATGGGGTGGTAATACTTATAAGGTCTGAGATATATGGAGGAGAGAGGTTATGGATTGCTTTGAAGGTATGGAGGAGAATTTTGAAGATGGACCTGAATTTAACTGGGAGCCAGTGAAGCTGTTGGAGAACCGGGGTGTTGTGGTGAAAGGAAGGGGTTCTGGTGATAATACGGGCTGCTGAATTCTGGGCCAGTTGCAGTTTATGAAGGAGTTTGTTGGGGAGACCATAAAGAAGTGAATTGCAATAGTCGAGACGGGAGGTGACGAGGCTGTGGACGAGAATGGCGGCAGTGTGAGGGGTAAGGGAGGGGCGGAGACGGTTTATGGAACGTAGTTGGAAGTATGCTGACCGAATTGTTATTAATGTGAGCTTGAAAAGAAAGTGAGCTGTTGAGGATGACACCCAGACTCTTGACCTGAGGGGAGGTTAAGGAAAAGCTGTCAGATTTTGAGATGGTGGATTTAGTACCAACTAGAAGAAATTCAGTTTTATTGCTATTGAGTTTGAGGAAGTTAGAGGTGAACCATGATTTGATTTCTGAGAGGCAGAGTGTAAGGGAGGATGGTGGGAGAGTTGAGTTGGGTTTACTGGAAATGTAGAGCTGGGTGTCATCCGCAAAGCAGTGAAACTGGATAATGAATTTGTGGAAGATGTTGCCAATAGGGAGGAGATAGACTATGAAGAGGAGGGGCCCCAGGACAGAGCCCTGGGGCACACCTGACTTGACTGGGGAGGGTTCTGAGGAAAAAGATTTTAACTGGATGAACTGAGTGCGGCCAGTAAGATAAGATTGAAACCAGCAGAGGGGTGTGTGAGTGATGCCTAAGGAAGAGAGTCTATTGAGGAGGATGGGATGAGAAATGGTGTCAAAGGCCGCACTCAGATCGAGGAGAATGAGAATGGAGATTAAACCAGAATCAGCAGCAATGAGTAGGTCATTAGTGATCTTGATGAGAGCTGTTTTTGTGCTGTGGTGGGGACGGAAGCCAGACTGAAACTGTTCATAAAGGTTACTGCGGGTGAGATGGGAGTGCAACTGAGATGCAACGGTTTTCTCTAGGACTCTGGAAATGAAGGGAAGATGGGAAATGGAATGGAGATTATTGAAATCATTGGGATCTGAACCAGGTTTTTTTAGAATAGGGCTGACTGAAGCGGATTTGAATAGGGAGGGGACCGTACCAGAGGATAGTGAGGAATGAATATTGGCTGTTATAAAGGGGAGCAGGGAGGAAAGGCAGGATTTAAAAAAAACTGTTGGAAGGGGATCTAGTTGACAGGTGGAAGGTTTGGACTTGATGATGTAATCTAATAGTTCTGAGGGATGGGGAAGTTCAAAGGAGGAGAACTGAATGGAGGGTTCAAATAAATCAGAGGAGGGAGGGGAGGAATGAGGTAAAGAGAGATGCATTCTATTGACCTTATCATTAAAAAACAGAAGAAGAGAGTTACAGGTTTCTGGAGTAAAGATGGATGGGTAAGGAGTAGTGAGGCTGAAAAGTGCTGTTCATGATGGAAAATAATGTCTTAGTATTGCTGGAGTTGGAGGAGATGAGACCGGAGTAATACTGTGATTTGGCATTGGAGAGTGTAGGAGTGCACTAGCACCGTGTCCTCAGAGAGGTTAGTTATTATTTATCAGCCTGAGGAACTTATTTCTATTTCTACCATATTTATAAACTGTTTATTTACAGGTCCATCAGTTAATGTAATAATTGTCCCAACCACAGCTACCCCCCCCCCACCTATCATCTATCTATCTATCTATCTATCTATCTATCTTTATATATATATATATATATATATATATATATATATGTATATATATATATATATGTATGTATATATATATATATATATATATATATATATATATATATATATATATATATATTAACGATGGGTATTTTACATCTTACTTATGAACCATAAATTGTGAGATTCCATAGGAATATGAAATATCAATCTGATAGATCTTTGAATATTTTAACCAGAAGATCAGAACATTTTATTGCAGTGATTACTGGACACTTTCTTAACTCAGAGAAAAGAGAGTGAGTCGGGTTTATAATAGTTAAGAAATTTATTTCTACACAATTTAAACAAGGTCTAACTGTAAACACTCTGTGTACTGATGAAACTAGGTGGAAATAATTAATCTAGGTGGAGTTAATCAATTTCCTTCTGGGATTAATAAAGTATTTTTGAATTGAATTGAGTTGAATGAGACGTGAGATGGATGGTGTATGTGTGGAATGTTGTTATCAGAACTCTCGTATCCGGAGAAGCAATTAGTTCTGAGTGGGAGTGAATGTTTTGCTCTAAACTACAGTTGGTGATTTATAAAACACGTTAAACGCCATCTGTTGGTCTACATACCTACAGGGGAAGCCTCCGTTCAGATCCAGAATGTCTAGGTCCGTGGACCTTCCTTGGTACTGAAGCCGGTAGAGACAGCAGCAGTGCCGACCAGACTAGTCTTGGAATGCTTCCAGGTCACGACAGGTTATTATTGGCGTCAGCGAGACCCTGAAGGGGTCGTGAGGTTCAGCTTTTATTCTGAAGGAATCGCTGCGGTCAGGTGTAACGTGCAACAAATTTTTATCCAAGTTGTCGAGGTTCTTATGGTTGTAAAGGTTCCGGATGGCCTGTCCGAAACTTCTCTAGAACGCTTTGAACTGAAGTAAAGGTGACGTGGGAATAGTTTTTATAATTGTCATATTTTGGTTTAATGGCGAATCAGAATTTGACATGCAAAAGAGGGCTTTTACAGACACCACAGAAAACCATGCCTTACTTCAGAAACGTAGGTTCTGATTGTATCAGACAAAAGGAAATGTGTAATGTGACTTAACACAACTCTGTGTCAACGTGTCTAGTGCAGCTGTCCAAAATTATAATTACTACTGATCACAGGATTATAATATCAAGTAATACATTGTCATTTCACAAAATGATTGAACATCTGATTCACATTCTAATGGGCAATAACAAACATTGTTTGATTATATATTTATCAAAAGAGTTCTCCGTCTTGTCTTGAACTGTAAGGAGGTGAAGCAGTTTAGATGAGCAGAGGGCATGAAAGACCTTGGGCCAATATCTCATGTAGATTAGGCCTCCCGACGGAGACATCACATCTCCGCTCGAGCAGATGCAGCAGAGCATGATCTTTTAGGTCAAAAACAGGATATTTCGAGACACTACCATATATATATATATATATATATATATATATATATATATATATATATATATATATATGTACATATATATACACACACCTTCTCATTCAATATGTTTTCTTTATTTTCATGGCCATTTACAAAGGGGCCAACAAGTGCTAAACACCTCTGGGAACTTCTTCAAGACGGTTGGAAAACCATTTCAGGTGACTCCCTCTTGAAGATCATCAAGAGAATGCCAAGAGTGTGCAAAGCAGTAATCAGAGCAAAGGGTGACTATTTTGAAGAAAATAGAATATAAAACATGTTTTCAGTTATTTCACCGTTTTGGTTAAGTACATAACGCCACATGTATTTATTCATAATGTTAATGCCTTCAGTTAGAATCGCCCAATGTAAATGGTCATGAAAATAAAAACACGTTGAATGAGAAGCTTTGTCCAAACAAGAGATTTTTTTTAATTCACATTAATCTACATTTTGTTTTGTTTTTTATCCTGTCCAGAACTTCCAGAACTTCCACAGCATCATGTCTGGGAAAACAAGATGGCTCTGACTGACCAGCAGCTCTCTAAACAGAAATGGACCTCCAGTTTGGACCAGAAGGAACCAGAACCTCCACTGATGAAAGAGGAACAACAAGACCTCCTTATCCATCAGCATGAAGGGCAGTTTCTTCTGAAGCAGGAAGTTGATACCTTCATGGAGATTTCTCCTTCTGAAGAAACAGACTGTCATGAACCAGAACCAAACAAGAACCAACCCTTGTGTCAGAGTTCTACAGAAGCTGAGAACCAAGATCAGGGTGGATGCAGGAAAGAAAACTCAGAATCAAACAGCAATGAAGGACTGACACGTAATAAAATATGCCAATCCAAAGATCACAGAGACAGTGTAGATGATAAAAAACAAAAAAGGCACAAGAGGGCTCACACAGGTGAGAAGCCATATCCATGTAAAACTTGTGGTAAATGTTTTCGTGTCAGTAGTTCCTTGACTAAACACATGAGAACTCACACAGGTGAGAAGCCATATCCATGTAAAACTTGTGGTAAATGTTTTAGTGACAGTGATTCCTTGACTACACACATGAGAACTCACACAGGTGAGAAGCCATATCCATGTAAAACTTGTGGTAAATGTTTTAGTGACAATAGTCCCTTGACTACACACATGAGAACTCACACAGGTGAGAAGCCATATCCATGTAAAACTTGTGGTAAATGTTTTAGTGACAGTAGTTCCTTGACTAAACACATGAGAACTCACACAGGTAAGAAGCCATATCCATGTAAAACTTGTGGTAAATGTTTTAGTGACAGTGGTCCCTTGACTAAACACATGAGAACTCACACAGGTGAGAAGCCATATCCATGTAAAACTTGTGGTAAATGTTTTAGTGACAGTGGTCACTTGACTATACACATGAGAACTCACACAGGTGAGAAGCCATATCCATGTAAAACTTGTGGTAAATGTTTTAGTGTCAGTGGTCACTTGACTACACACATGAGAACTCACACAGGTGAGAAGCCATATCCATGTAAAACTTGTGGTAAATGTTTTAGTGTCAGTGATAGCTTGACTAAACACATGAGAACTCACACAGGTGAGAAGCCATATCCATGTAAAACTTGTGGTAAATGTTTTAGTGACAGTAGTTCCTTGACTACACACATGAGAACTCACACAGGTGAGAAGCCATTTCAATGTAAATGTTGTAGTAAATTTTTCTCACAGAGTACTGCTTTGACTACACACATGAGAACTCACACAGGTGAGAAGCCATATTCATGTAAAACTTGTGGTAAATGTTTTAGTGACAGTAGTTCCTTGACTACACACATGAGAACTCACACAGGTGAGAAGCCATATCCATGTAAAACTTGTGGTAAATGTTTTAGTGACGGTAGTTCCTTGACTAAACACATGAGAACTCACACAGGTGAGAAGCCATATCCATGTAAAACTTGTGGTAAATGTTTTAGTGACAGTGGTCACTTGACTATACACATGAGAACTCACACAGGTGAGAAGCCATATCCATGTAAAACTTGTGGTAAATGTTTTAGTGACAGTGGTCACTTGACTAAGCACATGAGAACTCACACAGGTGAGAAGCCATTTCAATGTAAATGTTGTAGTAAATTTTTCTCACAGAGTACTGCTTTGACTACACACATGAGAACTCACACAGGTGAGAAGCCATATTCATGTAAAACTTGTGGTAAATGTTTTAGTGACAGTAGTTCCTTGACTAAACACATGAGAACTCACACAGGTGAGAAGCCATATCCATGTAAAACTTGTGGTAAATGTTGTAGTGTCAGTGGTCACTTGACTAAACACATGAGAACTCACACAGGTGAGAAGCCATATCCATGTAAAACTTGTGGTACATGTTTTAGTGTCAGTGGTCACTTGACTACACACATGAGAACTCACACAGGTGAGAAGCCATATCCATGTAAAACTTGTGGTAAATGTTTTAGTGACAGTAGTTCCTTGACTACACACATGAGAACTCACACAGGTGAGAAGCCATATCCATGTAAAACTTGTAAATGTTTTAGTGACAGTAGTTCCTTGACTAAACACATGAGAACTCACACAGGTGAGAAGCCATATCCATGTAAAACTTGTGGTAAATGTTTTAATGTCAGTGGTCACTTGACTACACACATGAGAACTCACACAGGTGAGAAGCCATATCCATGTAAATCTTGTGGTAAATGTTTTAGTGACAGTAGTTCCTTGACTACACACATGAGAACTCACATTATATCATTGAATTGCTAAAGCCTCATACTCCAACCCGAGCCCTCAGGTCCACAAACTAGAACCTTCTAGAAGTTCCAAAGACCAATTATAGAAGTCCAGGTGATGGCTCCTTCCACACTGTTGCACCCTGACATTGGAGTGGTCCTCCTTTTAGCCTTACTAGTCTTGACAGTCTGGACACTTTGAAAAAAAAAAAACAGCAGAAGCCCCTTTCATTTAAAGCGGCTATATCTAAATATAGTATTTTCTTATTTTTAACTCAAATTTGTAATCCTCTTTCAATTGTTTAATGGTATTTTATAAATACGTGACTTAGATTCTTATTTCTGTTTTAAGGTCAGTAGGATTTTATGACAATGATTTGTTTTCATCTATGTGAAACACCATGTGATTTTCTGTGTGTGATGAGTGCTATATAAATAAAATGTACATACATGTGAAAAGCCATATCTAGGGATGCTCTGATCAAGTTTTATGCGTCCAATCACGAATTCCAGGAGTGTTGATTACTGATACCGATCACACAGCTTGGCCAAAAATTTCCTGTGAAGTTATGAGTTCTATAGATATGATCTGGGCATAACGGAATAATAACATCCACTAAAATGGCCTATATTAATTAGAAAGAAAAGGAAACAATTTTTATATAGCTCCTCTTATAATAAAAATCAGAGGTGCTTCTTAAGAACAAAAAATTTTAAATATAAAAAAAGATTTTGAAAAAATTCTAAAAATTGTGATTAAAAATGTAAGGAAAGGTAATGCGAAAACGAAGAGGAAAGAGAAATCAGTGGATCCCGGGAAAGGCAAAATGGGTAGAAAGAGCAGAATAAGGAGGGTGATGATGAAGGTCACATCAAAGCCAGCTTGAACAGGCGAGATTTCAGCTGCTTTTTAAAGGAGACCACTGAGTCCAATGATCTCAGGCTCAGGGGGAGAGAGTTCCAGGGACCTGCTGGGGATGTAGGGAATGCGAAGATCACCAATGTATGATGGAGCTTGTCCATGTAAAGCCCTAAAAACCAGAACCAGGATATTAAATTGAATTTGACTGGCAGCCAGACATGTTAGACAAAAACATATTTTTAAACATTTTTAAGAGATAAAAAGACTTGCAGCACAATAATTGTGTTTGTTTCTGTATGTTCCCCGAATAAGTCAAGAAACTAAAGTCTTCTGATTAAACATTCAAAGGCCAATCAGATTGATATTTCATATTTACATGGAATTATCTCATCTTATTGATCAGTTCATATTAGGGTTGTCACGGTAACCGGTATAGCGGTAAACCCCGGTAAAAAAGTTGACAATAAAAATAACCGTCCAGTTTTTAAAAAACTAAATTATCTCGGTGGGTTTACCGTGGCCGCGGTTTCGGCGCGGTGACCCTTACCAGCCACCGTCGCTTCAGCTGAAGTTCCTGCGGCGCGCACACGCAATTTTTAGTTTGCAACGGCACCAAAACTTTGAAGCTGAAATAATGGCCGAAGGAGGAGACGGCAGCGCCCAGGACATCCATCAGCCCTCAAAGAAGACTAAATCGGAAGTATGGTCATATTTTGGATTTCTGAAAAATGCTGAGGGACAGTTAATAGAAGACCGCTATCCCGTTTGCAGAACGTGCAGGAAACAAGTGTCTGCAAAAGGCAGCAACACTTCGAATCTAATGGCACATCTGCGTAACCATCACCCACGTCTCTACAGCCAGTGCAAGGTAAGTTAACATTAGCATTTTAGCTTAAATGCATGACGTGAGGACTTTTGGCTGAGGGAGGATGCAACGAGTCACTATATACTGCCGCCGCAGCGTCCTCTGCCAGCATTTAAACCGTGTCACGGACACCCTGTTGCTGGATGAAGCATCTTATTTGTTGATGATGAAGAGAAATATACAATTAGTTCCTTGTCATTGATTTGTTTACTTATTCAATGCCATTTATACTTGAACATTTGGATTTGACTACATAGTGTAGTAGTTATTTTAGTAATTTGTTTAAAGTGGCTATTTTAAATACATATTTTTTTAAGGTTGACTTGTACAGTGCTCAAGTCAAGTGTGGACTGGAGTTTTAGATTTTCATTTTGATGATGAAGAAAACAAGTGGTGTTTCTTTGATTTGTTTACATATTGTTTATGTTTTGAATGTTTGGATTTGTATAATTTAAACCTGCACTGACTACTGTAACATGTTCCAGAAAAATAAGCTATTTGTTCCTTTACTTGTGAAAAGTTGCACTTTTGCTAAGGCTTTGTGTTATTTTAGGTTTAATAAACACTGTTAAACCTTTTCAAAACTATTTCAGTTTGTGTAGAACAGGACTATCAATGCTTTCTGAACATATGCAACAACGTTTAAAAAATACCGCGATAATACCGAAAACCGTGATAATTTTGGTCACAATAACCGTGAGGTTAAATTTTCATACCGTGACAACCCTAGTTCATATATATGTAGCCAATCCTTAATGCAACAGTGTTGTAAACTTCTACCTTCTACTACCTTCTCAGATGTACCTAGGTTTGGTGCAGGTTGTGTTTTTTGTTTCTCCCAAGCCCCCACAATGCGGTCAAAAACTGAAACAAACCCGGAAGTGAAATAAATTGCAGTTCCACCCTCATCCGCTGGGGGCTGGTGTCAGAAGCGAGCAAATCCTCATTGACTCCCATGTTAAAAATACCAATTTCACAGCAGAAATAAACATGTTTTCAGCCTGGTACCAAAACTTGTTTTTGGTTTAAATGATCTAGTTTACACTCATGACAACTCTGAGGGGGGTGAATTTTTCTCTAACTTCTGTTTAAATGTATTAAATGCCTAAAATTCTGTATAATTAATGAGCATCAGACCCATGTGACCGCCGCCTCAGACCCACGTGACCACAGAGGTAGCTCCATGGAAAGGCCTCTTTAGAGCCTCGGTTTCACCTGAAAACTGTTCTGCGATTTTTAGTCTCTGAAATTAGACCAGTAGTTGTAGCGTTTGTGTATTCTTTTTGGATATTATTTGTGTAATTGTTGGACAAAATGACTTGCTGTGGTATTAATTGCACTAATAAAGCATCCAAGGAGTCTCCACTTCATTTTTCCGGTAAGTAAAATTATATTTATGTATTTTAGGTCACTGCCGCTCTTGCACTAGCTGAGCTTATCAAAGAACTACCATTTTAACATGTACAGTTTAACCATGAAATTTAGATGTAATATACGGTAAAATAATTAATAGGGTATGTGTGTTACGTCCCCTATTCAGTGGGGCCTGTAAGTGCTTGTGGTTATTATTGTATTTCATTTTTTTTATGGTATATTCCTTGTGGAGCGGCATAGCGGAAGAAACCTGTCGGCGCGTGAGAACCAGGAAGAGCGTCTCGTCTCCATGGCGACGTCGGGGATTCCCTCAAAATGGACTTGTGGCAGTGTCGTCATCCAGGAACCCTGGTCGAAGCGCGGAGAGTCCAGCTGCATGAGATGAGGACTGATTATGCCAGCTGTGCCGGAGAGGATAAAGATGACGCGGGATCAGCTGTTCGGGGAGCAACTCTTACCCATGGGTTGTCTCCCTGCTCCTCACTCCCGTTGAGTTCCGTGTCCGATTGTAATCGAATAGTGTGCGTGTTTTAGAGGTCCTACGCTAGACAGACGGTGGTTATAGTTTCGTTTATTTGATTTGTTTATCTAGATCCAGAGGTGTAGAACACCAGCCTTTAAGTTGTAAAGTTTTAGAGGTTCCAGCTAAACCAGAAAGCTTGGTATATTTTGTTGTATTTTATTCCTGGGGCTGGTTCCCCATGCCCTTTTTCCCTTGGTGTAACTGGTATTATCCTGTGAGGCGGTTATAGTCCCTCCTTTTATGTTATTAAAAGATATTGTTATTTAACAGCCCTACGACTCCTCCCACTCCTTTTACCTTCATTTAATTACCTGTTCCCGGATCCTAAACTGGAGGCGTAACAAAGTGGGGGCTCGTCCTGATCTGTCGGTTACATATAACAGTTACCCTCAGTAACAAAGTGGGGTTTCGTTGTGGGGTTGTTTGTAATAATTTCTTTTTCTGTGATCATGTCTAGCTTCGACGTGGAAACCTTCATGAGGGCGCCTTCACGTGGACAACTGGAAGAGTGTCGTAAGCAAGATTTATTAGAAGTAGCTGCTTACTTGGGTCTCACTGGGGTTCAGCACATGCTGAAGAACGCCCTGAAGGAGGAGGTTCTGTCTGTGATGGAGCGGAGGAAGCTGCTGTCACCCCTGAGTGATCTTGCTGTCTTGCCTTTTCAGAGTGAGGACTATGTTGAAGGTAAAGAGGAGGACATTGCTGAGGCGTGTGGTGCGACAGAGGATGCGGCCGGCGGGATGAGGGCCCCTGAAAGGGGTGAGGACCGTCACTCTCCTCCACCAACTCCCCCACGATTTGACCCGGATTCTCCAGGTTCGAGGAGCGATTCTCTTGACCACGCCCGCTTTCAATATCGTTTGGCTCGCCTGAAGCAGGAGGCAGAGAATAAACAACGTGAAAGAGACTTCGAAATGAGGAAATTGGAACTTGAGGCAGACACCAGAATAAAGCTGAAACGACTGGAGCTGGAGGTTCAGGCACAGCTGCCGAGCAGAAGAGCTGATCAGACGACTAAAGGGCTGACGACTGCTGCAGACCAGATTGACGTCGGGAAGTGCATGATGCTGATGCCACCTTTCCGTGAGGCCGAAGTGGACAGCTACTTCGCCGCGTTTGAGCGCATTGCTACTTCACTCAGTTGGCCGCAGGAAGTGTGGACTCTGCTGTTACAATGCAAACTGACAGGCAAGGCTCAAGAGGTAATGTCAGCTTTGTCTGTGCATGATTTTTCTGACTATGACCGTGTAAAAGAAGCAGTTTTGCAGGCATATGAGCTGGTTCCTGAAGCCTATCGGCAAAAGTTCAGATCTCTTAGGAAACGGGACGAGGAGCAGACATATGTAGAATTTTCCAGAGAGAAAAGCATTTTGTTTGATAAATGGGTTATGGCGTCAAAAGTGATTAGTCTGACTGAGTTACGAGAGCTTGTTTTACTGGAAGAGTTCAAAAGGTGTCTTCCAGAGAAGATTGTTTTGTATTTAAACGAACAAAAGGCACATACCTTATCTGCTGCTGCAGTTTTGGCAGATGAGTTCATGCTGACTCATCGTATAAAGATTGAGAACAGGCCTACCAATGTAAAACCCCAGGACGTCAGACAGAGGACGCCCGGAGTGAGCAGTGGAAATTCACAGCCACGATGTTTCTATTGTCATAAGTTGGGTCACATTGTGAAGAACTGTCTAATCTTAAAGAGTAAGAAAGATGTATCCCAGAGAGAAGTTGGGTTTATTGCAGAAACTGCATTCAAGGGGCATGTGCAAAGCAGAGATAGGGGATTTGATCCGTTTGTGTTCAAAGGCACAGTCCATGTGGGTGAGAATGACTTAGAC